CCGGTTGGGGCCGATAGGACGGACGAGTGAGAGAGGAGGGGAGGGGGTTGTAGACCATGCGACAGACCCATGACTGGGGGAGGGGGAGAAAAATCGTCCAAATCGCACCTCCACCAGAAGCCGTCCTGGATTCACCTATAGCATCAGTGCAAAACTTTTCTGCAGTAAACTTACTCGTTTCCCTTCTCCCCCTCCCCCTTTCCCCCCTTCCCCTCAGTGGTAATTCCTAACTCTGTGAGCTGCTGGCGCAAATGGTGTAGCGTTAAATGGCGTCAAAATCAGGGTAAAAGTTAATGGTTCGATTTTTCTACTGTAAAAACTTTTAAGTTTCAGGTACAGGCTCGACGACAGATTTCTCCGATATCAAAAACTTTTAAGTTTCAAACTGAGTTCTGATAAAAGACTAATCCTGATACATTCCAGACGTTCAAAAAATCGCCAGCTATAGCTTGTAAGCAAATATCTTATGGGGTGAACATCGACAGCTTTGCCAGCCAGTGGCTGAGGATGGTAATAAGCTCCCAATTAGGTTAATGCTTCCAGCTCTTAGAGAGAGTAAAACTTTGACAGAATCGAGTTATTGGCGATAAAATTGGTAAAATCATTCAAATAAGTGAGCAAAAAATCATGATAAAAACTCACGATTTTTTCGGAGGTTGAACCAACAGCTTCTTCGTGCGCAACAAGTCGGCGCATTGCATCGGCCAACGCTAACTTCTGACTGCTATCAAAAAGTCTTTCTTTTCGTTCGTTCTAGAACAGCTAGGAATGCCAACTAGTCGGAACAAAAGAAAAAAAAAGAAAAAACAAAAAAAAAAACCGTCATTTCCTCATCCTACACGGAAAAATACATGATAACAACGAAACAAACTATCCTTTGTTCCACTAAGATGCGATTTCACAGTTTTTTTTTTCAAATCATTCCGCTCTGACAAACAGCACTTGTTTTTGCTATGAAACGGGAAAAAATGGCATACTTTTATCCTTTCCAGCAAATTCTTATTGTATAATTCAAAGATCGGCTTTATTCCTAGATGATATTTCCCGGTTGGATTCGTCCAAGATTCAGGAATCTGTAGAATAAAAACAATTAAATGTTTTCAGTGCAATTTTTCACCTGATTGACAAACCGTGATTTAAGAATGGGGGCGAGGAAGTGATGCTCAACATAGACCGAAGACAACTCAAATAAGTAAGATCTTGCCTGGCTTTTTTGTCAAGAAAACTTGGAAAGCCGGCAACCCTACCACGGGACGAAACATAAATCAGGATCGGCAGAACCCCTTACCAAAAGGCGATGCAAAACTGGTCAAAGCAAATGTGAATAAAATTTCAGCTTCCTAGCTTCCGTGGTCCCCGAGATAATAATTTTCCCTGCCAAAACTTCTACGGAGCCCCGCGTGTTACCCGCGGGCACGGGGAGGCTGAATTTAAATTTGCGGGGTTAAACATAGGCGGGGAACATTCTTCTAAATTTTCAGCTTTCTAGCTTTTGTGGTTCTCGAGTTGAAAGTTGCGGACAAGTTGCTGCGGACATACACACACAGACACACACACATAGGCACACCCCCTCATACACACACAGACAACCCCGTAACAGTATGTGTTGTGCGTAGCTGGTGCACAGCACAAAACGCATAAAAACGGTCAACCGCATAGTCAGCAAACTAGTCGGCGATAAAATATCCACTCAGCGATATCATATTCCAATCTTAAGAGAACCTACGAACATAGCCTTTGAAATAACCATAACCTTAAGTTTCCTTCCGGACAGCCCAATAACATAGCCATCCGTTGCTGTCCGTACTGTTGACATGTCAACATCACCGGCTCCTGTGCAATCAATGATGTCAATCACTTTCGGTCGTCCATCACTGGTCACCTGAATACCGAAATTAATCAGTTGCTCTTGCCTATGTAGTCGCAAATAAATAGCAACGCGCACCAGACTAGCCGGTGCGATCATGCGTTTTGTGCAATTCAGCCCACTGAACGATTGCCTATTAATGATTTTCACTGCTTTGTACTTTAGTCTATGCAAAAATCGTTCAAACATTGGAAAGCAGTTAAAAATTTCATGCACTTGCACATGAAAGCTGAATTCAAAACCTTGAACGGTGAGTATTTTTCCATGATTCCCGCGTTAACAGTTTACCTGCCAAAATTTTCACGAGGCCGTAGGCGATACTCAAAAGCGTGGGAACGCTGAATTTGAAAAGGCAAGTTTGAGTGTGGGCAGGGGTCAATGCCCTAAAATTTCAGCTCCTAAATTCCGCGATTCTCGAGATAATTCACCCGCAAAAACTTCCATTAGCCCGTAGGTGATACCCGAGAGCGCGGGAACGCTGAATATGTATTTGCAAGATCGTTCGTCGGCAAAGAGTCGCAACCCTAAAATTTCAGTTTCGTAGACTCCGTGGTTCCCGAGATAATAATTTACCCGTCAAAAATTTTCACGCGGCCGTACTTGTTACCCGCAGGCAGGGGAAAGCTGAATTTAACATTTTTCTGGGTAGCACATGGGCATGGGACATGCTCACAAAATTTCACCCTTCTACCTTCCATGGTTCCCGAGATAGTGATTTTACTCGAAAAACTTTTACGGCGCCGTAAGTGTTACCAGCGAGTACGGGAAGACCGAATTTAAATTTGCCGCGTCGCCCGCTGGCGTGGAGAAATATACCAAAATTTCAGCCATCTAGCTTTTGTGGTTCCCCGAGTTGAAAGTGCGGGACAAAATGTGGGACACACACACGCACACACACACACACACACACAGCCCCGTGACAATATGCGTTTTGTACTGCTGTTATACTGCACAAAATCCATAAAACGAAGACAAAACTCTTTTCATTTTCGCTCTGTGAAACTCAGAAGTGACCTCTTTGATAGCGAATGCCGACAGCAACCACTCGTTGGCAAAGGCTTTGGCAACTTTCTCTTTCAAGGGTTATGTTCATTCCTCGGCATATGCCAATACCATCCGATCGATTGTCTCATTCGAAGGAGGTGAGAGGGGGAGCCGGGAAAAGGAGAGAGGGAGAAAAGGAGGACAGAAGCGGGAGGGGGATGGACCAACGACCTCCGGCTCAATGGAACGCTATTTACCACTGAACTGTGCACCAGCTGGACAGAAAAAAATGGTTAAAAAAATGCAAAACAGTTATAAATCACAATCTTTGGTACCTGCAGTAACAAATTCTTTTCGAATTTACCTTTTTGGGGTACTAAATCATTGTCTTTTTTTTCGATTAATTCGCAGAATCACTCTTTAACTTTCAATTTACTTCGACAAGATATAAATTTTCATTTTTCGGCCGTATTTTTATTTTATTTTTTATAAATATTTTAGCCCTACATGCTTTTGGGAACACCAATTTCGGGTAGAAACGGAAGGCGCAATCCCATCTTCGAAATCCTCTCCTAACTGGGTCGTCATGTTCCCCTACACATTCAGATTTTAATCTTGTCTTATTCACATTTTCCTTTTTTATTTCCTTACATCTTACATAAACATATACCAACTAAAATTAAAATTAAAACACAGTTACCCTTCACTCGCGTCTCCCGATTTTTATACTTTACTTGTTTGAGCGGTTTTTTGTTTTTTCAAAATTCAGCTGAAATTCTATCGTTTTCTATGAAAATCTGTTCGCGATTTAAGGCTTCTTCGCCATTTCTCTTAAAATAATTCTCAGATGAGCGTAATGCCTTCCTGACAGAAATCTGCTTTTAGTCTGATGACAAACACACACACACACACATGCACACACACACAAACATACACACACATACAAATTACGACGAAATTTTGTATCTCGTATAGTTGAATTCTGAATCTCTGCGTCTGAAACTGAGCGAGAAGGAAAGACGGGAGCAGTAAAACAGCTAAGTTAATTGGCTGACTACCGATAAGCAGATCACACCAACCAGGTTGACCTTGGAAGCCTAACTGGTGGAAGCGGGACAGATGAACATATAAGACAAGGAGATAAGAATGATACAAGACGTTTCGGTCCATTAAGTCATGTGCGCCTTAACTCAACACCGCGACAGGACCTTGTCAGTATGACGGCTGCAGTGCTTAATGAGGAAAGGGCGCTACCCTCTTCCATCTCAGAACGATTTTTGGGTTGAGGAGCTGCTTGAGGTTGTGGTTGGGGTGCACGACAGCTGAGTTTAAAATCTTTAGCTCGCACGTGCACAGCGAACATCCCTGCAAAGTTTCAGCTTTCTACTTTGCCTGGTTCGCGAAATCGTTTCACTTTCTTCTTTATTCTCATTTCGGAATTTTTCGCAACTTTGCCCGACGGTATTTGTTTGCTATCGCACAAGCAAATTTTGCACTGCTGTTGCTACACTTAAGGGAGGGTTGAGGGGAGGCTGCCCCCAAATTACCCAGGCAAATGCTTTTGTGTATGGGTCTGCCCACAATTTTTATTGAAAATATTTCAAAGTTGGAAGAAGAAGACAAAAGCAAATAATATTAAGAAATTAGTAAAAATTGTAAAATATCTTGATAAAATTATTAATTTATCTTCAAAAAATCATCGAATCACTATTCAAAACAATGTTTTACTTGTAGGCCAGGAAGTGACGGATCGACGCCTGTATCTAAAATGCCAATTACGATACCTCGACCATCATACTCCGGATATTTCGTCAGAAACTGCTCCTAAAAATCAAAAAATAAAAAGAAGACTGTGCAACATGTTGGAAATTTCATGCAGCCTTTAATTTATTAATGCATCCTAACCAATTATATCATTAATTTCAGATCCTGATTAAAAAACGTCCTAAAGTTTTCATGTAGTTGTTAAAGCAAAACTTTTTTTTGATTTATGCCAAGCCCATTTCACTAATTTTAAATCCTAATTTAAAGCGCTCTAAAGATTTTTATGCAGCTGCTAAAGAAAAACTGTTTTTTGATTCAAGAACACCCTATTTTGCAGTAAAAACTGAGTCCATTTTATGGTAAAACTAGGTCTATTTTGCGTCAAAACTGAGCACATTTTGCGGTAAAACAGGGCCCACTTTGTGGTAAAACTGGGTCCATTCTGCAGCAAAACTGAGTCCATTTCGTGGTAAAATTGAGCACATTTTGTGGTAAAACTGAGTCTATTTTGCGTTAAAATTGAGACATTTTGCGGTAAAACTGGGTTCATTTTGTGTTAAAATTGAGTCCATTCTGAGTTCATTGTGCGTAAAATTAAGCACATTCTGCGTTAAAATTGAGCACATTTTGCGGTAAAATTGTGTCCATTTTGCGTTAAAATTGAGCACATTTTGCGGTAAAACTGAGCCCATTTTACGGTAAAACTGTGTCCATTTTGCGTTAAAATCGAGCACATTTTGCGGTAAAATCGAGCTCATTCTGCGGTAAGACTGAGCCCATTTTGTGGTAAAGCGAAGCCCATTCTGCGGTAAAACTGAGCCCATTCTGCGGTAAAACTGGGTCTATTTTGCGGTAAATCTGCGTCCAGTTTGCGGTAAAATCCAAAAAATTTCTGTTCCAGGAAGTCAAAAACTTATTGAGAACTAAATCATCTTAAACTCAATACTTCCGGCATCAACTTCCTGAAAAAGTAACCTGTTGAGTTTCAGCTTTTGGCATCAGATGCGCCAACGTGAAACTATTTTCCACCGCCACAGTACAATCATCCATCACAAACCGTTTTCCTAAAAAATCAAACAACTGCACTTTTACAAAGCAAGAATCCGACTTGACAACGTGCGACCACACGCAATCCACGTAACACGTGCCAAAACCGGCGAAACGCCAGCGCAAAATGAGCGGAAATGAATTTTAACAACGTCTCGTTAGAGGCACGAGTATGCAACTGGCCGGGGAGAGGGAGAGAGCGGGGAAGGGGGATGGGGGGTATTAAGATCGTCTTTGGGCTATCATCCCGGGTATCTCATGTTAGTGATGTTACTAGGATACTCCCACACACACACACCCACACACACCCACACACGCACACACGCACCCACACGCACACATACACGCATACACACACACACACACACACACACACACACACCCCACTCTTCGGTCCTCAGCTGGCACAGTTCCAGTTGTTGCCTACCGCTTGCTCGATGTATGTGCGCTACCTCTTCCAAGGCCACCCGATTCCTGTTCTCCTGCCGGGCGCGAGAAGATAGAAACTGAGAAATAACGTGGAGCTGTCCTCCGCGCCGTCTAGTGCTCCGGTATTTCCGCGAATCCCAGGAAAGGGCTAGCAAAAATTAGAGGAGGAAAAACACGGTCCCCCCAAGGGTTTCAAAAAGCAAACGCAAAAATCTAGTGGCATATTCTGGAATATATTATATTTTAATCAGTTGTAGTCCACCAAGCCTGGTTCCCCAACCACGCAACTGGCAATTCTTTCAAGCTACATCGCCCGGTACCGCCAGGCCCCCGCGAAAAGCTGGAAAAAATGACGAAGAACCGGAAAAACCGGCCATTATATAAGGATGGTATGTACAGGCAATTGCTAAAACTCGGCTCGGCTCGGCCGGTACCATACACGATTTGCGAAAAATTTTTTTGTCGATGGCGGGTAAATCTACCCTGCGGTGTAGGGGAAAGGGGGCTTGTATGTGTAGTAAGTGAGAAGTGGTGTGCTGCGGGTTTCATTCGAAGCAGTAGAAGAGGACTGGAATAAATGGATTTAATGGCTACTTGACGTAGATCCACTGCTGGTAGGCTGGTGTCGCGAACAGAGAAAGAACGAAGTCGACAGATTTCTGGACTGTGATCTCGGAATCTTTCTGTGTTGATCTTTAGTTTTATTGTTAAGACTACGTTATTGT